TTCTTTATTTTTAGTCCTACACCCACCTTCCAACCACTCTAATGAAAGGTCTCGACTCCAGGAATGTGATTCCGGTGGAATTTTTTAGAAAAAGTCACGCATATGGTGGTAAAACTCTAAAAACTGGTTCTATTGATTTAAACCCACCTTCCAACCACTCTAATGAAAGGTCTTGACGGCAGGAAAGTGATTCCGATAGAATTTTTTAAAAAAAGTCACGCATATAGCGGTAAAGCGGCAAAAACTGTTTTTTTATAAACCTACCTTCCAACCACTCTAATGAAAGGTCTTGACGTCAGGAATATGAATATGCTATTATTTTTTTGAAAAAGTCACGCATATAGCGGTAAAGCGGCAAAAACTGTTTTTTTATAAACCTACCTTCCAACCACTCTAATGAAAGGTCTTGACGTCAGGAATACGAATCTGCTATTATTTTTTGGAAAAAATCACGCATATAGCAATAAAGCGGCAAAAACTGTTTTTTTTTATAAACCTACCTTTCAACCACTCTAAAGAAAGATCTTGACGTCAGAGATATGAATATGCTATTATTTTTTTGAAAAAGTCAAGCATATAGCGGTAAAGCGGTAAAAAGCGGTAAAAAGGGTATTTTTTTGTCGTATTCTACTTTCCAACCACTCTAATGAAAGGTTTTGATTCAGGAATACGAATCTACTATAACGCTTTTTAAAAAATCACGTATATAGCGTTAAAGCTGCAAAAACTATTTTTTGTTACACTTTTACTTTTAACCATGCTTAATATAATATGTCATAAATGCGGTAATTATCTATACTTGGGATATATTGTTAGTTTTTGTAATTATTTACTCTAATAATACCATAAAACCGGTATTTCTAGTTTAAAACCGGTATTTCCAGTTTAAAACCGGTAATCAAAACAAGTTTATATTTATACCCCACACTTCTCTCGTTATTGTTCATTTTCGTGTCGTACAGTCACCTAGCTTCAGTCAACAACCATGCAGTGCGACTCTTGTTTAAAAGTTTTATCCAACAAAAGCAGTGTAAGTAGGCATAAACGGGAAAGTTGTCCGGAACGATTCAATAAAGGGAAAAAGTTGAAACTTAATAATAACCCAGATGTGGTTACATACGCTAATAATTACAATTCAACCATTGTAGAAGCAACTCCCTTTAGATCTATTGTTCATCCAGTCACCACTACATCCAATGTTATCGAATGTCAAGATTGTTATAAAAAAATTTCTGGGAGAGGACTAACAGGACATTTACGTAGTAATTCACACAAAAGTGTTATTAATAATTTAGATAGCGGAGTTGAGAAACTATCAAGTGCGTTTAAAAATCGTATCGGTAGTTACCGTCTTTCTAGCAACAAACATCATACTGATCACTTGGAATTTTTTAGTGAAATTGAAGGTAGCGTTTTGAAGCTTCTACATAACTATTTACATAAATTTAAAGTGTTAAAAGTTAATTTCGAACTTTACTCTATGTACACAATACCTGAAAAAGATACTTATGATTTAAAATCATTTAATACAAAAAATCAGATTATTACTATTTCTACTAATTTGAAACAAGCATATCAAGATTTTATTAGGGAGATATTACCCAAGGTTTCGGAAATACAAGAAAAGGAATCTGGATGGAGTCTTTTACAAATTCAATCATTAGAAGTTAACATTAATAAGTACAACCCTCTACGATCTTCTTCATATATCAAGCTACCACGACAAATCGAGATGAAGAAAGCAATTATTAATATAATGAATAAAGATGAAGCATGTTTTGGTTGGGCGGTAAACGCATCAATTTTTGATCCAACAGGTAAATCCAATCTTATTACTTCTTATCCGCATTATACTAGTCTCTTACAGTTCGATAATATAGAATTCCCTATGAAACTCTCAGATATACCAAAATTTGAATTACTAAATAATATTTCGATTAACGTTTTTGGAATTAGTGAATGTTTTAAAAATAATATCACACAATTGGAAATCGTTGGACCGTTGTATTATACAAAATGTAAAAAAGCTACACATGTTAACTTATTACTTATTTTTGATGAGTACGGGAATAGTCATTATTGTTACATTAAAAATTTATCGCGGTTAATATCAAAACAAAAATCACACCATAATGGTCAGACTTTTCTTTGTAATGGTTGTTTACAATTTTTCTCATCCTTAGAACGTCTTCGCAAACATGAAGACAACGATTGCAACTTTGTATATACTAAGCTTCCAACTACCGACATGATTCTCAATAAATATGGACATCTACAAAAAGAAAATATCTTACAGTTTTCCAACTTTCAGAAACAAATGCAAGTTCCGTTTGTTATATATGCTGATTTTGAAAGTATACTGCAACCGATACAATATGCAACACCTTCTGATAATTCCTCGTTTACTGTCAAAACCTATCAGCATACACCATATTCATTCGGTTTTTATGTTAAATGTTATTTTGATGACAGTTTATCACAACTTATCATTTATCGCGGTGACAACGTGGTTGAAAAGTTTATTCAAAAACTAGAAGAAAAAGTTTACACTATTTATCATAAATATCTTAAACATATTAAACCTATGAAAAAACTTACACCAGAAGAGGAATTACAATTTTTTACTAGTAAATGTTGTCACATTTGTGATAAACCGTTCGATATTAACGAAATTAAAGTTAGAGATCATTCACATCTAACAGGGTTGTTTTCTGGCGCGGCTCATAACGCTTGTAATTTAAATTACAAATTACCTAAGTTCATACCTGTTTTCATGCATAATTTAACCAATTACGATTCACATCTGTTTATAACAAAATTAGCTCAGAATAACGAAAAAATTGATGTTATTGCACAAACTAAAGAAAAATATATATCATTCACCAAACTACTTTTAGTTGATCGTGGTGATCTAGAGCAAAATGTATATTTAAAATTAAGGTTTGTAGATTCTTTCAGATTTTTACCTCATTCACTGGATAATTTAAGTAAAACTCTTAATGATTATCAATGTCTAGAGTTACAAAAATATTGTCGATCAAATGAAGAGTTCGGATTGTTACGACAAAAAGGTGTTTTCCCTTATTCATACCTGGATAACTTTTCAAAACTTGGTGAGGTATCTTTACCCACACAAGAAGAATTTTTCGATATTTTAAAAGGTGAAGGCATTTCCGATGAAAAGTACTTACGAGCTAAGCGAGTTTGGGAAGTTTTTAATTGTAACACCTTAGGAGAGTACTCAGATGTTTATTTAAAATCAGATATTTTATTATTAGCTGATGTGTTCGAAAACTTTCGACATAATTGTTTATTTAACTATAAACTAGATCCTGCTCAATATTTAACAGCTCCATCACTTAGCTGGGATGCTATGTTGCGTAAAACTAATGTTCAGCTTGAATTATTGACGGATATAGACATGCTCCATTTTTTTAAAAAGGGTATACGTGGAGGTATAAGTCAGTGTAGCACTAGATTTGCTACTGCAAATAATCAGTATTGTGAGAATTATGATTGTTCTAAACCTACTTCATATATTCTTTATTTAGATGCTACAAACCTTTATGGTTACGCTATGAGTCAATTCCTTCCGCATGGTGATTTTCGATGGTTAGATGATGTAGAAATCACTTATTTTGATTGTTTATCAGTCGATGATGAATCTCCAAAGGGGTATGTCTTAGAAGTTGATTTAGCTTATCCTGAAACATTACATGATTTCCATAACGACTTACCGTTTTGTCCTGAAAATCTGATTCCTCCTAATAGTAAAGATCCCAAGCTTGTATTAACGTTATTACCGAAAAATAAATATATTATCCATTATAGAAATTTGAAACAGTGTACTGAACAAGGTTTAAAGATAACTAAAATTCATCGAATTCTAGAATTTTCTCAATCACCGTGGTTAAAACCTTATATTGAATTAAACACAAATTTACGTAATTCTTCAAATAATGAATTTGATAAAAGTACATATAAAAATTACACAAACTCCATTTACGGGAAAACTATGGAAAACGTTGATAAAAGGGTTGATATTAAACTTTTATCCCACTGGGAAAACTTGCCTGGAAGCGTCGGTGCTGAAGGGTTTATTAGTATGCCGAATTTTCACTCTGTTTCAATATTTTCTGATAATTTAGTTGCAATTCAAATGAATATCCTAAAAATAATTTACGACAAACCGGTGTATGTCGGTTTTTCAATTTTAGAAATATCCAAAATTCGTATGTATGATTTTTTTTACAATTACATTAAAGCTAAATATGTAGATAATGCCTCACTTTTGTATACTGACACTGATTCATTAATTTTACACATTCAAACAGAAAACGTTTACCGCGATATCAAAGAAAACCTTCATTTATTTGATACATCCAATTACCCCGCCGATAATATCTTTAATATACCAAAAACACCATCAGTGGTTGGTAAATTGAAGGATGAGTTTAAAGGTAAACCAATTAAAAATTTTTGTGGTACTGGTGCCAAAGCTTATTGTGTGACATTAAGTAACAATGATAACCTTAAAAAAGCTAAGGGAATTTCCAAAAACGTTATAAATAAATCTTTAACATTTACGGATTATAAACAAGTAGTTGATAATACTAATGCGAAAATTTATCGTAAAATGTATACATTTAAGTCACATCTACATGAAATGTATACTGAATTAAAAAATAAAGTGGCTTTAACTTCCCGCGATGATAAGAGGTATGTTATACCCGGAACTGTTAACACATTAGCATGGGGTCATTATAAAATAGATACGTTTACACCTGACCAACAACAAGAAAATCTCGATTATTTAATCCAGCAAGCTAAACTACTTCTACCAGAAGCAAAAAATGATGGTGGGGATGAATTTTATGTAGACAGTTTTGAAATGGATTTTTTATCGTAGTGGGGGAGTTTGTTGGTGGGGTGTTTGTTTAATAACACGTTGTAGAGCTAATTCCTACAGTTCTTCATCAGCTTTACTGCTAGTATTTACAATGTGGATGTGTTACGTTACCGAAATTGAAGTTACGGATTTAAAAAGTGGTGTTCAAAACTTACACCAACTTTTTTCAAATCTGGAGTTTGATGCTTCTCATGAAGCCGTTTATGGTGCAGTGCGTCCATCATCTTATTCTCCAGAATTTTGTACAGAATTAGCTAAAAAATATGAAAAAGGTGCTGAAATTTGTGACTTGTATCTTAAAAACCAAATATGTTTATATGGATTTGTATCGTTACTAAAAGCTGTAAAGTTGGATGGTTATTTAATTCGAATAAAAGACTATCTTCCATCTGTTTTATACGAAAAAGAAGAAAATAGCGAAGATGATACTTCCAATAATGAAGTTATTGATACAGACATTGATGGTATGGTTGAAGATGGTTCAAGTAAATCACAAACTTAATAATCTTATATTTAGACTTTATTGTATTAACGGTATAATGTATTTAATAAAAGCATTTCTGTACTAATAATATTTGTTTTATTTGCGTATTTAGCATTTATTAATAAGGTGTGAGTGTAAAATGTATCTTGTTTTCACCACATATTCTATATATTGAATTTATCCAAATAAAGCTACCGTGTTTGGAACACTATTGTACTTCACTATTCTGTTTCACTATTTACCTACTTCTTGTTTTTTTCCTTATTTTACCTTATAAAATAAAGTTATCTATTACTATTTCTTGTTTTTACATACCTGAACTGTTTGACTTTCACTGGTAATGTATATTTTTATTCTTCGTGTGTAACGTTCATTAACCCCTTGACCATTAACCTTGACCGTTAACCTTGACCGTTCATTGACTCCTTGACCGGTCTTTCACCCCTTTACTGGTCGTTGACCCCTTGACCTGCTATTGACCCCTTGACCGTTCATTGACTCCCTGACCGTTCATTAACCTTCTAACCGGTCTTTGATTCCTTTACCGGTCGTTTACCCTTTGACCTTGACCGGTCGTTGACCCCTTAACCGGTTATTGACCCCTTGACTGGTCGTTGACCCCTTGACCGTTCATTGACCCCCTGGACCGGTTTTTGACCATTTACCGATCGTTGCCCCCTTGACCTTGACCGGTCGTTGACCTCGTCAGTGGTGGGGGGTATGAGGTGTGGTGGGGGGTATACAAAATGGTGGGGGTCAATAGTGGGGGGTATACGGACGGTGCGGCTAGAACTCTCACCCCTTACCTTACCATTGGAGGGAGGTATAATAATGGTGGGGGGGTCGGTGGTGGGGGGTATACGAACGGTGCGGCTAGAACTCTCATTTGCCCTCTACTTACTATTATGTCGTCTAAATAGGCGAATGCATGTGGTTCCATTTCTGGGCCGATTATTGTATCTAGTAATCGTTGAAAAGTAGCGGAGGCGGCGTGTAATCCGAATGGAAGTACTTTGAACTGGAATAGTCCTTTTCCTGGTGCTATGAAAGCGGTCAAGGGTTTGCTTGCTTCGGAAAGTGGTACTTGCCAATATCCATTTTTTAGATCCAACGTGGTAAAATATTTTGCAGATTTTAACTTTTCTAGGATATGATTGATGTACGGTAATGGGTAGGCATCTTTTTCTGAGATGTCGTTGATTTTCCTAAAATCGATGCAAAATCTGTATCCGTTGTTATCCTTCTTTTTTACTAGGACGATGGGGGAACTGTACGGGCTATTAGATTTTTCTATCACGTTCTCTTCTAGCATCTTATCTATCTCATCGTTTATGATCTTCTGCATTGCCGGGTTTCGGGGCCTGTATCTTTGTTTGATCGGTGTATTATGTTTGAGTTTTATTGTATGTTCGGTTAGATGTGTTGTTCCTTTAATTTGTTTAAATTTCTCCAATTCTGTTAGTAACAATTCCTGTAATTGTTTTTTTTTTCGGTATTGTTTAGTGTAGTACTGATGTCGAGTTGCTCTCGTTTCGGACTGTTGGTGAATTCCGGTATGTATGACGGAATATCTTCGGTCTGGTCGTCGGCCGCGGTATCGGTCGGTAGTTCGGTATATCTTCGGTCTGGTTGTCGACCGCGGTATCGGTCGGTAGTCGGTATATTTTCGGTCTGGTCTTCGACCGCGGTATCGGTCGGTAGTCGGTAGGTCGTTTTGTTATATATCTTGCTTCTCTGTTGGAGCGGATATCTTGCGGTTGGTGTTTCGTTGACCCTGGAATTGGTCGGTATTCGGTTATTGTCTGCCTTGTACGATCTGGATCTGTGTTCTGTCCTGGTTTGGTATTGTTCTCTCCTTCTTACGCGATTTCTATTTAAGATGTTTGATAAATCCAGGCCCCATCTTGTTATTTCATGCATTCCCAGTACTACTTCTGAAGCTAGGTTTGGTAAAAAATGTAGCTTGGCTTTTCTCCAAACGTTGTCTATGGAACATTTTGCTGTAAAACAGATTTCTATGTTGCTGGTTTTTCCATCTGCCAGCGTGATCTTTAAAGCTTTTCTGTCGCTTTTTGTTCCACATTGTTCCAATATTTTTTTACCTTTTTGTCCTATAAACGAATTTTGGGCTCCTGTGTCTATTGGTGCTTTTAACTTTTTACCGTTGCTGAACGTTATCGTTGTGTGGGGTCGTTGATCTGTATAGTGTGCGTAGCTGGAGGTTGTTAGGGAGGACTCTAAATGCTGACTGGGTTGCCTCCTTCTTGTCCAGTCCTGTTGGAGTTTTCCGGTCGGCTTCTACATTGGCAGTTATTGGAAGTTGTTCCTCGGGTTCCGCAGTGGCTGCAGAAGAGTACAGCGATAGCTCTGCAGTTTCTTCTGTTGTGGCCTCTGCGGCCGCATCTCCAACAACAAGTCTGTCTGTCGAAATTCTGTATTTTGTTATTACGACTATTTGTCTGTGTCCAGTCACACCTTGTATTGTTTCTGTTATATATTTCTTTTTGGACCATATCATATTCTTCCGCTAGTCTGATGATGTCCTGTGTTGACGATACGTCTTGCCTCTTTATATACAACTTGTATTTCGGGTTCATATTGGTGTATATCCTGTTTAGTTCTTCTTGGTGATTGAATTCACCATGTCTTCTGATCATTGTTTGAGTATCAATGATGTAGTCTTTTACACCTTCAGTAGATGTATATTGTACCCCCAAAATGAGGAGGAGGTTAATGACTTATCTAAAAATAGCTGAAGGTCAACGAACTGAGCATCTGGTGTGTCTAGACAATATTCGGTCTAAAAATAACTTAAGGTTAATGACCTATATCTAAAAATATCTAAAGGTCAGTGACCTGGCCATCTTGTGTGTCTAGACAGTACCCTGTCTAAAAATAACTCGAGGTTAATGACCAATATCTAAAAATAGCCGAGGGTCAGTGACCTGGCCATGTCGTGTGTCTAGACAATATCCGGTCTAAAAATAACTTAAGGTTAATGACCTATATCTAAAAATATCTAAATGTCAGTGACCTGGCCATCTCATGTGTCTAGACAATATCCGGTCTAAAAATAACTCAAGGTTAATGACCTATATCTAAAAATAGCTAAAGGCCAGTGACCTAGCCATCTCATGTGTCTAGACAATATCCGGTCTAAAAATAACTTAAGGTTAATGACCTATATCTAAAAATATCTAAAGGTCAGTGACCTGGCCATCTTGTGTGTCTAGACAATATCCGGTCTATAAATAACTTAAGGTTAATGACCTATATCTAAAAATAGCTAAATGTCAGTGACCTGGCCATCTCATGTGTCTAGACAATATCCGGTCTATAAATAACTTAAGGTTAATGACCTATATCTAAAAATAGCTAAATGTCAGTGACCTGGCCATCTCATGTGTCTAGACAATATCCGGTCTAAAAATAACTCAAGGTTAATGACCTATATCTAAAAATAGTCAAAGGCCAGTGACCTGGCCATCTCGTGTGACTAGACAATATCCGGTCTAAAAATACCATTCGATTAACATCGTCTAAATATAACATGGAGGGGTTAATATTCACATTACATATTTAAGGCAAATTGGTGGGGGCTCCTCAGTAGTTTATCGGGAATCATGAATACGTGTAGCATGTGCAATAAATCGTTTTCGCGCTCGGATAACTTATCGCGACATATGAAAACATGTAAATACAGAAATGTGAATAGTCATAATGACCATAATGGGGATTATTATATTCCCAAAAAAGATTAAGACCGCTTAATTTGGAAGTGATAGATGGCACTATTTCAAAATTGACACATGCGTTTAAAAACAGAATTGCATCTTATCGTTTTAATAGTGATAAAAAGCTGGATTATTATGGATTTTTAAAAGATGTTAAACCCAAAGTTTTAAGAATCTTGAGTGAATATCTACATCAGCACAATACGATTAAAGTAAATTTTGAAATATTTGCTATTTATTTAAAACCTGACACCAATCTATCAGATATCAAGTCCATGAACACATGCAATAAAATTATATCTATCAGCACTGAACTGGATGAAGCTTTTGATGATTTTCAGAATTTCAAGAAAAAGATTCAAATTGGGTATTACAAGAAATAATGTTTTTAGATGTTAACATCAACAAATTTAGTAGTATTTCTGCATCAACGTATATTCGTCTCCCAACACCTTTAGCAAGAAAACACGCTATTTTAAATATAGAAAACAAGGATAATAAGTGTTTTGCGTGGAGTGTGATGGCAGCTGTTTTTCCTGCCACTGGTAACCCAACTAAACCAGAATCGTATCCACCATACGATACTTTATTGAATTTTGAAGGTATTGACTTTCCGATGAAACTAAAAGACATTAAAAAGTTTGAAACTCTTAATAATATTTCAGTCAATGTTTATGGGCTAGAATCTAATTTCGTAACTAATAAACGGCAATATGAAATAGTTGGGCCACTGTATTTTACAAGTAATCGCCATGCCACTCATGTGAACCTTTTGCTTATCACAAATGATACACAAAGTCATTATTGTCTGATTTTAGACATGTCGAGACTTGTAAGAAGTCAAAAAACAAAAAACCATCAAAAGGATACTTATGTGATGGATGTCTACAATTCTTTGTTAGCGAAGAAAAGCTAAATAATCACCAAAAGAGCGACTGTTCACATATTTACACAAAACTTCCCACAACACAACCTAAAATTAATAAGCTTGGTGAAATAGGACCAGAAAATATACTGAAATTTATCAACCTTCAAAAAATGTTACCAGTGCCATTTGTGATCTATGCGGACTTTGAAAGTTTGCTAAAGCCCATAGACTGTACCGAACCTTTTAGTGGAAATTCATATTTCGTTAAAATAGCTGAACACCAAGCATATTCATTTGCATTTTATCTTAAATGCAGCTATGACGATTCACTCTCAAAACTAATAAAATATGAAGGAAAGGATGCCCCCAAAGTGTTTATCCAGAAATTGGATGATTTAGTACATGAACTATACAACAATCACCTTAAACATATTAAACCAATGTCACCGTTAACAAAAGAAGAAATTGAAAAACATGAAAGCGCTACCGAATGTTATTTGTGTGGGAAGCCCTTTAATCCTTTTAATCATAAGGTAAGAGATCATCATCATTTAACTTCAAAATATCTTGGACCCGCTCATAATTCATGTAATATAAATTACAAACTCTCAAATACAGTACCTGTGTTTTTTCACAATATGAGTAATTATGATTGTCATCTTTTTGTTAAAGAGCTTTCAACAACTGGTGAACAAGTGTCAGTAATTGCACAGACCAAAGAAAAATATATCACAATTTCTAAAAAAATACTCGTAGAAGAGTCGAAAAAGGGTCCACATAAATACATAACTCTGAGATTTGTTGATTCATTTAGATTTTTGACAAAATCTCTGGATATTCTGAGCACAACTTTAGACTCGGAGCAGTGTAGAGAAATTAGAAAGTATTTCCCAGATACTAAACACTTTGAACTTGTGAGACACAAGGGTGTGTTTCCTTATTCATATATGGATGGATTTGACAGACTTAAAGAAAAAACACCACCACCTAAAGAAAATTTCTACAATAATCTAACTAACAAACACATTTCTGATGAAGATTATGCAAGAGCAATTGATGTGTGGAATACATTTGATTGTAAATCTATGAGTGACTATGCTATGTTGTATCTAATATCAGATGTCTTATTATTGGCTGATGTGTTTGAAAATTTTAGAAAAGTATGTCACAAAGAATACAATTTGGATCCTTGTCACTACATAACTGCTCCTGCATTAAGTTGGGATGCTATGTTAAGATACACCAAAATTGAACTAGAGCTTCTTACCGATGTCGACATGGTACACTTTTTAAAGAAAGGAGTAAGAGGAGGAGTGGCACAATGTAGCAAAAGAGAAGCCGTGGCAAATAATCGATATCTACCCAACTATGATCCACAACAACCCGAGTCTTACATCATGTATCTCGATGCTACAAATTTATATGGTGCGGCCATGTGTCAATATCTTCCATATGGAAATTTTAAATGGGTAACCGATGCTGAAAATTTTAACTGTTTTTCGGTGGAGGATGATGCGGATAAAGGGTATGTGTTGGAAGTGGATTTGGAATATCCAGCTCATTTACATTCTGCACATAATGATATGCCATTCTGCCCCGAAAGCATGGTACCACCAGGAAGCAAATATCCTAAACTTATACCAAATCTCAACAATAAAACTAAATACATTATCCATTATCGCAATCTTAAACAGTGTCTTAAGTATGGTCTGGTACTAAAAATGATTCATCGTATACTAGAGTTTTCGCAATCACCATGGCTAAAAAAATATATTGACCTAAACACATCACTTAGGAACAAAGCCAAAAACGAGTTTGAGCGGGATCTCTTTAAATTGCTGAATAATGCGATATTCGGAAAAACTTTAGAGAATGTTGAAAAAAGAAAGGATATCCGCCTTTGTACTCGCTGGGAAACCAAAACAAATTCGTTGGGAGCCAGGGCACTTATCTCGAAACCAGAATTCAAGTCTTGTTCTGTGTTTAATGAAAATTTGGTTGCGGTTCATTTGGGTAAAACCAAAATAGTTTACGATAAGCCTCTCTATGTTGGATTTACAATTTTAGATTTATCAAAAACAGTGATATATGATTTTTATTATGGATATATCAAAAAGAAGTATGGGGAAGCTGCAAACTTGTTATACACAGACACAGACTCCCTGATTATGGAAATATATACCTCTAATTTCTATGAGGACATGAAAAGAAATATAGAACATTTCGACACCTCCAACTATCCAACTGATAATATTCACGGGATACCCAAAACACCTTCAATACTAGGAAAAATGAAAGATGAATTTTCATCTACACCCATTAAACGTTTTTATGGTACAGGTGCTAAAGCTTATTGCATAGAAGCAAATAAAATAATACAAAAAGCAAAAGGCATTTCAAAACATGTAACCAAAACACAGTTGCAAATGAGTGATTATGTACTATTAGTAAAAAAAGGTGGTGTAATCTTTAGAAAAATGTATGTATTTGTGTCTAATTTACATACCATATATACGGAACTTAGAAATAAAGTGGCACTATCTTCTAAGGATGACAAACGCTATGTAATAAACGGTGACGTAAAAACTCTTGCGTGGGGGCATTTTTTAATTAGTTTACATAATGGTACTATAGATGATCTTATTATGTTTGGAAATGAGCTGCTACATACCCCGGACTTGGCCGATTTAGAAAAGATCCCCCTTGAAGAATTTTTTCAGGTTGATTCTTTTCAATATGATTCATACTTGTAAATTGTGTAAAATAATTGTAAATTTATTTGTATTAATAAAACGCATATATATAAACAATTTTTTTTATTTAAAACCTTAAACAATTCTATTAATACCGTAATTATTGAAAAAGTCGAACATAAAGCTATATAATAAAATATTGGAGATATAACTGTATCCTTCTTAGGTCTTTCATTATAAAGTTCCAACCATTTGGAGTCACTGCTTCTACCACTCATATGTCTAAAACGCAATTTATATTTAGTGCTGTTTAGTGGTATTTCAGCTTGTAAAGTTGGTAAAAAATTGTTTCCTAGATATGATTTCATTCTTGACCATGTCCCAGGCCATGTTTCATTTAGTGTGCCATTACTGTCAAAGCACACAAAAACTTCCCTAACATTGATGGGTTGTTGGATTAAAAGCAGATTACTTAGAATTGCTTGTAAAACAATAAAGTCTAACGGTATCATCTTAATAATCTCTATACAGATTTTGAACACCTATTTATAGTAAATCTAATAAAGGGAGTGGGGGGTCCCATTTATGTGGTGGAGATTCCATTAACCCATCACGATAACCAACTCTTCGATGAGATAATCCCATAGGTCTAGTCTCACTACAAAATTTACAAAATTCAAACACCAATTTCCACCCTTTAAATATTAGGTTTATTGGAATAAGTCTAGTTCCAGACATTTTACGACAAATAAGACAAACTTTTTGTCGTACAATATAAAAAGGAGGTCTCGAAAATGTTTCCCACTCGTCACCACTAAACTGATCATTCAGATTATCACAATATTTATACGACATGTTCCTCTCGTATCTTGTATTTGAACACAAAACTGCACTATAAGTATGCGAATTAGTTTGAGTGGAGGACTTTCAGCTAATAAAGTTTAGTAGACCTGACGCGGAACAGTCTAGTGTTACTATATCATTAGGAGTGGGGGGAGTGCATCTCAACACATCACCATCCGGTGTCAATGAGAGTAGAGAGGATATAAGAGTACTGAAAGCTCATTACTGTAAACAGTATGCGCTCAAGAAGGTTTCGTGAACGAGTTGAGCAGTTTTGTACAGATATAAAAAGAATAAAACGCGATATTTTATTTTACGAAAAAACAAGAAATGTTAAAGAGTTACAGAGACGTATTAACCAATTAAAAAGTGAATATCAAAATAAACTTTGTATGTTTAAAAACTTTTCACGACTTAGTATAAGTGATGCGCTTGCGTAGTGGAAGAGTTTATTCACCGGAAGAAGAAAATAGACTATTTTTTGTTTCTAAAGTCGAGGAGCAAAAGTGGATAGACTTGGTGTTTAAAAACATTAACCGTTTTAACAATAATGGAATGTTGTCAGAAAAGAATTGTAATGAATCAACACCCACAAAAACCGTTGTACATGTTTACAAAAACAGAATTGGAAAACTTTACCATACCGTACATTAGAAAATATGTGACACCACATGAAATACTTCGGTCCTGGGATAAATTACCCATCGAAGTGGTTCAGGATTTTGAAGTACAGACTAGAATTCCGTGTTTTATACACTTCAATCGCCCCGAATGGAGAACAGAGCTAGAAGGATTCGCCCCTGCTCAATCCAGCTGTCATTTATGTAGGTTTGCATTGGAAAATTTAAATAACAATTATATTGTTTGAATGTAATAATCATTTATTAAAGTATTATTTTTTAATAAGGTATTTTTATTGTTTAAATAAAACATTATGTAAGAAAAAAATCTTTATTGCATAATAAAATTATTGTATAAGTAAAATACATTAGATAAGGCACATACACTATTATTATTTAAATGGTATGGACATTTCGGCTCCATTATCTCCAAGGCTGGTTGTTCATCAAACTCTATAACTGGTACTAAACTATACTTTCTTATATATTGAGCCTTTTCTCTTCCTTTGACATAAACGATATCGACATTACTTGTCAAGTATCGAATAATATCATGAACTTGATGTACCGGGGTAAATCCGTTATTCCAGTTAAGACCATGGTGATTATTCATTAACCATACAGCTTGTTTATGGAACTCTGGATTCAGCAACCTTAATGGATATGGAGGTTTAAAAAAATAATGACTAATTTTTTTGCCATCATAAGTCGCCAACTCTTTCACGATAAATTTATTTTTCTCGATGTTAAAACCTTGTACGTCTATTATTAGGCACATGTTAAAGTCTGTCTTTGTATGGTATCTAACTTGCATATATAAAACAATTTTCAGTCATGCGCATGAGAGAGGTTCACATATAATGCTATAGCTACCTATATATCTTCATACATAATGTACGTCTATCCTCATACGAAAAAGTCTCTGATTAGATGTAATTAAATTTTAATACCTATCTTATTATAAAAATATGTTAAAAAGCCAACCTGTCCATCTAATAATAATCATATTTTTTTATAATTGTTTTACTATTTTAGTTAAGGGATTATATGTAAATTCTTTTTCATGTAATATCAGACAATAAGCGGAGATATCAGAGGTCGTTGGCTCATCTGTCTCAAATTCTATACGTAACACCACAGATCCTGATTGAATTACTTCTTTTTGTCGAGAGCAGTCAATATGTATCAGTGGTGCAATCATTTTAAAATCATAAGGATTAAATATTGGTTGATTCAGCACCATATGATAATAACTTTCTTGGAAATTTCCAAACATTTCATAAAGTTTCGCAAATCTATTTGTTTTAAAATCTAATTGTAAATCGTTATAGGGATATCTTTCAGAATTTAAAAATACTTTAATATTTTTTAAAGAGCAATGATCAAATTTACTCATATCTTTTGTTAATTTCGATTTTCTGTTATTTTGGAAAGCAACAATGATGTGACGAGGTGTTTCTATTTTTGTACTAGTGCGCACAGACCACGTATGACGGGTAGAGTTGTTTAGAGCAGGATATTCAATCATTTGCCAAGAGCGAAATTTGATAGGTAGTTCTTGATTTGTATGTGAAATCTTGTTAAGTCGTATCTGTTCTCGTATACTCGGTGTTATATGTGGAACCTCCCAATATAATTTACTAATATCAATTTTTGGTCGTTCGCTTTCATCTATGCTGACTACAGCATCAATATCATCATTTGATCTAATAAGTATTAATTCTTGTTTCATGTTCATAATAATTTTCCTGAAATCTTCAAAGAATCCTGATAGGAGTCCTAAAGGTATGCACACGTTAAAATTTCCATTTGAATCCACTAACACACTGTTTTTCGGGACTTCATTATTGGTTTCCATTCTACTCATTTTTGGAAACCAACCAGCGTTTTCCAATTGCAAGCTTTGGTTTTCGTTGAGACTAAGATAGTTTTTAATACTGGATACTAATCCTACATCACGTACTGAGTCAACTACCACCCCATTTATTTCGTAACGTAGTTCACGAAACATGAAAGCTATACTATTATTAATAAATTTTAATTTTGTTGGTGTGTTATTATCATGTGTGAGTAAACGTCCTTCGATATAAAGATAACTATTTGCGGGATATGTAAATGCATCTAGATCTTGAATAGGAATACGTATTTCATCGTTATATCCCAACTTTCCAGGAATGTATGGTTGATATGTGTGAAATTGATATTCTTCAATAGTGTTGTCATTAAAAGGTTGACCAGTAACATGAAGAATTTCCATTATACCAGGACTTTAAATCCTAACGATTGTAAGAAACGACGATTAGATGATGTTATTATTTTAGAAGGTAATCTCCTTATATATGTTTTTGGTATGTGAGAAAAAACTAGAACCATTATATACGTTTTCTAAGATGTAGATTTACCGTAACTTCTTCTCCTCCAAAGTCAATTAGTTTACCTGCTTGGTTAATAATTTTTACTGTAAGGTTGGTGATTGTCTTGATACCAACTGGATAATACAAAATATTTTGAGGAGCATCCACTATTTTATACCCAATCGGAACGATTGGAAAAAATTGGTGAATCAAGTGGACAGGGTTTCCATTTAAATAGCATCCTGAAGCGATGTTACAATCAACACACAAAGTGTTTGCTCCCCATATTTCCACCGGTTTATCTGAAATATGTGTTCGGTTTGGAACTAGTTGTCGTGATTTAAAACCAAACAATTTCCCAATGGAATTTTTGGGGAGGAATGAAATTTCTCGATTACTCTTAATAACAACTTTGGAAGTTGATACCTGTGGAGTAATTTCTAAAGTCGCATCATTATCAATCTTTTTCATGTTTTCTTGAATAAGCTTTGTAATATCATCCAATTCATAAGACCCCTTAGGTAGCTTGTAGGTATGGGAAAAATTTTTAAAACTCCAGAGAAAAACGTTATTGCTTTCATCAACATTTGGAATAGTATTAAAACTATAGAAACTGGTTAGACCAATTTCATAGTCAAATTCATCTTCAAGATAAATCGGAGGATTAAAATTATAGCTCAGATTTGAAGAGCTTCCAGTAAGCGTAAAGTTTAAAGACATTTTAAGTTAACATATAACATTGGTAGCTATTTATAGTAGTTGAATAGAAAATCTAGTGAGTAATGACCGCACTTGTATGAATCGTTTTGGATTTTATCGTAGTTGTAATATATCTGTACCTCACCTTTACTTAAAAAATATTTTATTACATTTTGTGGTGGGGGTAAATCTCCATATGAATCAAAGTAAATTACTTGAGATTTAGATT